GGAGTCAGTATTGAATAAGGGTCTCAACTTTGCCACAACCATCAGGCGAGTGCCATACTTGGACATCATTGCCAGAGTTGAGGAGGTGGCCTTGAACATCCCTCAGGATCAGGCAGATGAACTGAGATGGAAGGTGAGACAGACCTTGGAGAAGGCCAAGCCACCCAGGTCTAACATAACGAAACTGGAGAGGCTGGTGATCGGATCCCTACAGAGGAACAAAAACATCATCATACTACCGCCTGACAAAGGCAATGCGACTGTAGTGATGGACAAATCAGATTATACAAGAAAGCTGGAAGACCTCATTAGCAATGGTAGCTACAGCAAAGTAAAAAAGGATCCTACAATGAAAACAGAACACAAACTGTCACAGATCCTAATCAAGAACAAGGATCACTTTGCACCTAAGATGTATAGGTAGTTATTGCAGCGTTACACCAAACTACCTCACATATACGGTCTCCCTAAGATTCACAAAGACGGTATTCTGCTGATTGTTAGTTGCCAAGGCTCTGTGTGCCACCCTCTGAGTCACTTCCTTATAGATATAATTGACACATTGATTGGAAAGTCTCCTTCATATGTCCGAAACTCCACCCACTTTGTGGAAATAATCAAAGAGGCCCCCATCCTATCCAACCAGTTTGTGAGCTTGCACGTGGTGAGTTTGTTCACCAAGGTACCCACAGAGGAGGCACTCTCAGTAGTCAGAGACAGATTGGCTTCTGACTCATCCGTAGAAGATTGGACCAGTATTCCAATAGGTAATCTGATGGAGATGTTGATTTTCTGTACACAAACAACACACTTCGGAATGGGATCACACATATATTGACAGGATGAGGGCTTAGCAATGGGCTTACGATTATCACCAGCAATGGCGAATATATACATGGAATACTTTGAGGAAATCGCATTAGAATCTATATCTCTAAAGCCAACTATATGGTTAAGGTACGTAGATGACACCTTCATACTCTGGCCACACCAGGAAGATGTTCAGGTTCTACTGGACCATGTGAACTCAATAAGACCTTCGATACAGTTCACAATGGGGAAAGAGAGTAACAACACACTCCCATTCCTGGATGTTCTAATATCTCGAACAGAGCATGGGTTCAAGACATCCATATACCGTAAAGTGACATTCACCAGACAGTACCTCAATTTCAACTCCCACCGTCCATACAGTGTAAAGAAAGGGATCGTCCACTGCTTACAATTACAACACCAAGCAAAAGTCATAAGTGGTGACCCAGAGACATTAGATAAAGAATTGGCCAGTATAAGCATTACCCTACAATGTAACAACTACCCTGGGTACATGGCAGCAGCCCCAATAAACTGAGATAGGCAGGTACAAGAGGAGGAGGACAACAACACTCAGAAAACAGTCTGCCTGCCTTATGTGAAGGGGTTATCAGAGAAAATACAAAGGATCTGTGGTCCATATAACATCAAGACAACCTTCAAAAGCTTGACGACACTTCGCAGATATCTCTCCCAAGTAAGACCCCCCCATAGAGGAGAACATGACTAAAGACTGTGTGTGCGCTATCCCGTGCAGCTGCAGAAAGAAATATAAAGGGGAGACAGGCCGCCCCCTTAAGGTAAGGCTTCAAGAACACCAGAAAGCTTTAGCATGAGGGGAAGTGGAAAAATCAGACATGGCTAACCACATATGGAGAGAGAAGGGAGACCACTGCCCTCTGTGGGATCAGGTTGAGATCATAGACAAAGAACACCATTGGAAAATTTGTAAACTTAAGGAATCTGCACATATGCTAGGCCACAAAAATCTCCTGAGCCAACCAAGCATAGAAATGAATACAATATGGGAACCAGTAATAAGGAGTGCCAGAGAAAAGCAATAATAATAACAAAAACTGCAATATGAGCTCTGGTAAAAACATGGAATGTTAACAGCAAAAATTGCAATATGAGCACTGGTAAAAAATGATTGCTGAAGACATTAGGTTTATAATACCCAGAAATGCATACCCAGATGTACTCAAGGACACATGGTACAGTGGATAAAGGTGTTAGATCCCTGGCAGATGATAGGGAAGTACAATTTTTATCTACCAGCGTGTGTCTTATATCTTGACCAGCTTCACAGTTAATGGAGATAACATTTTCATATTCAGCTTTAAAAATCAAATTAAAAAAATAACTCTTGTTCCAATCTGGTTTTTCGTGATCTTTATAAATAAGCTAGTTTTGTTTATGGTTTTAATTACTAAATTTCCAAAGTAATTTCTTAAAAATTAATTTTCTGCCCTAAAAGTAGCAACTAACTTAGTATTTAGATCACAGTTTGGGAGTAAAGGGAAGCAATCAATGTGTAAAAGGAAGTAATGAGTAATGACATTTTTAATAGTATATTTTGAAAATTATGGCAATTTCATTAATACCTTTTTTATGTAATACATAAATCTCTCTAAGAAACAGCACAGTCATGCAAAGGAAAAGGACTTCATCATTGCTAGTGAAAAATAAAAGATAGTTTTAATTTTTAGCAGTAAATTTATTAAACAAGATATTTAACTTTTTAGTTCTACTGCCTTCTACCGTATTTTTATCAAATTTATGATTCAATCCTTCTAGATTTTTTATCCTTCTAAGTATAGATGCTTTAAGCAACTTTTGCATCCTTCCAAGAAAATTAATTTTCTTTCATTAACAGAATTCTATAAAAACTGGAATAAATAACAATTTAGTGAATATGGTGAATGAATGAAAACCTCTCATTCAGACTATAATCATTTTTACCTATTCACCAAAGAAGTCTAGTTTTAACTTAATGGAATATTATACTCTTTCCATTAACTGATTCTAGGTGAAGGCTTTTCTTTAATTGCTACAATTGGTTTAAATGGAAGTAATACTTATTCAAATTAATCCTTTGATTCTCTAGAATAAGCTCATAGTAGAAAATTCCCTTCCAATCCCACCATATTCACAACATCACTCAGTGGTGTCTTATTTTGCTTATCCAATGACTATTTAGATTCCACATTGTTGTAAAGTATCCACTTTTCATTATTGATCATAATTTTTAAAAAATGACCAAGTCTTCATTATGTTACAAGTCATAGTGGAACCATGTATAAAAACAACTAATATAACAAAAATGGTGCAAATGAATTTCATTAAATGATTTGAATATTTTATATATGTTGGCAATCTACTGTATTGTATAATGTTGATTATTTTCTTTTGGTTTGATCACTATCAGTTTCAACTGGTCTACTCATTTGTAGAACATCATTCATCAGGAAATCTTCATAAACCACATTTGGAATGTTTAATCATTCACAATACTCACATAAATAAAATAGCACATATTTTTTAATTTGAATCATATTTTTAACTTTTCTTAAAATAATAGAAAAAACTGTTGCTTATTTTCTTCCATATTCATTGTTAGAATAAAAATCAGAAATATGCCATTTTTAATAAACTTTTTACAAAAATGTACACTTATATGACATCTGTGACAACACAATGAAAAGTTAAAGCTAAATGCTGTTAATTCCACCTTATGGCACCTGAAGAGCATATTTATGGAGATGGCATGAATTGTTTTAAGAACTTGAGACTCATGTTTTATGTGTATTTATTTTTTATAATGTATTTTCTCATTCAAATATGAAACAAATCTGGTTATGGTTAACTAACACAGAGAGAGAGAGAGAGAGAGAGAGAGAGAGAGTTGCAGAAAGTCAGCAAAAAATCCTGGTTACCTTTAAAAATAGTTAAGTAGCAGAGTTAAAAGAATTTTCTATTAATTTAAAACTAATCAAGCATAAATCAATATTTCTAGATAACCTAATAGTAATAGAATTTATTATCAATGGCTTGTAAAACTATTTTCTAATGCATTACAAGCAAATTCTCTAAAAGTATTTGTAAAAATTTTTTTTTTAATTCTCTATTTAGTTCTGCTACTAAAAGCAAAGTAGCAACAGATATCATCATCATCATCATAGTAAAGCTCTGATATTAAGCTACCTGTTTGCTCTCAGAAAATCAAATCTTACTCAATTTGAAAGCATTTTAAATTGTAATCAGCCAATCTTACTCAGGGAAGAAATGTATTTTTATTGTATTTGCTAAAAATATATTTTATCCTTGGCATGATGTGTGACAAAATTTGCTCTGTCCGAAATCATTTTAATTTTTCTTTTCTAATTAGCAAATGAACCCACAAACAAGCAGTGTTTATTGAACTAATCATTTTTCCAGTTAAATTGAATTTGGATCTTCATAGGATGGAAAAATAAAAATTTTAAAATTAAAAAGAGAAAATGGCATGTATTTTATCCATTTGGCTTTGATAATTTTAAATTGAGCTTTTAGTTTTGGTATTGTTTTGATGCAAACACTGAAGTGGAGGAAAATATGTATTTTTCTCTTCTTTCTCTTTTTCATTATCATCATGCTGCTGCTACCTATCTCTTTTATCACTATGACCACAACTAGAAAATTAACATAAATGTCATTTCACACAATTATAAAAACAATGAAAAACTATTACAGTTCAGCCAAATTCATACACAGTACTACAGGGAATATGAACATGTTTGCTAGCTAACATTACCCACAAGAAGTGTTTAGGCATGGAAATAACCTGCTGTCTATGACACATGATTCCAATTCTTTTTTTTTATAATGTCAGTATACACCTTTTGTAACAGGAAACTGATATAATTTCTAACTGGATGCAAAAAAAGAAAAATTGATAACTTTATTGATTCTTTTATCATTGATGTTCAATTATAATTGGATAATAGTGCACTTTAAGATTCACTTGTATTGTAGTTTTAATTTTTAACTATTTACTCAGATATTTAAAAATAAAAAAAAAGTTATTTCTCAGATAGTCTCATCTAGCTAAATCTAAAATGATTCTATTAGATTTCATACAGGTATATATAATAATTAATAATGTTAATTATTTCTCTAAATATTTCCATGGCTTACAGCATTATTATGTTGAAACACCAGTTCCCATACAATAACTAAAGTTAAGCAATGTCAAGCCTGGTCAGTACCTAGATTGATGATCACTTGGGAATACCAGGTGCTGTAAGCTTCGATGTACAAGTGGTGTAATGAATAATGGCTCAAAATTGTTAATCAAAGTTCCAATTCCAGTTGAGTTTGTTATATTCACTTATGCACAAATACCCTTCAGAAAGGCATGAATCCACCTCTTCTTCTCCTAGCTATAGGTTAGACTTGTATCACTAAACCATTATTATCTCAAAAAAAAATTCTTACAATCTAAAAATATTTTCTGGCTTCAAATAACCTACAATGGGTTAATAAACCATAGAAAACAAATCAATCAAATATTTTCACATCATTTAGCATTAATTGATTTTGCACTTTATATTCATATAGTTCTTTTATTCATTATACCTGCTGAATAGTTTGTGCTTCATTTAATAAGGAATTTTTTTTCATGAAATTGTATAAGATTGATTAAAGACCATAGACAAGGAATATTTTGAGTTACTTTTTCTTGATATACACAAGAGTCTGGATTTAATGAGTGTAAGTATTGTACAATTGTTTGTAATATTGAGCTTTCAGCCATATTTTTGGATATTATCAATACCGGGAAAAAAACTGTTGTTTGGTTTTTAAAATATTCTAAAATTCAGCATCATAGAATTTTATCTATTTTTTTCACATTATGATAACATAATGCACAAGGTAACATACAAATAAAATGCTTTGATAGTAGTTAAGTACATTTAAAATCCCAATTTCCATTCTTTGTATAAATTCTTTAATCAAACTTTTATTAATGATGGACTGCTGCCTATAACCAAGAAGGTCTGTCACTAATTTTTTTACTGCATTTTTTCTAATTTTCATATAAGATGTCATATATTTATGGTCAAATTTATGGAGAAATCATCCAAGTTCATAGTTTTCAACTACTTTCAACTTTTTCTAGTTATTATCAGGAATACAATATTTCTAATTTAAATATACATTGTATCATATAAAAGTGATTTCATGATTTGTAAGAGATACATTTTTTTAATCTGTTTGAGATCACAAACTTTGACAGTGATTGAGGATAGAGAGAGAGGCAGAGTAACTATTTTAAATATATTTTAAAATGATGATTTCATTTAAATAAACATACAGAAAAATTTGATTTATTGATTAGACCACTGAAACAAAGAGAAGGAGGAGAAAACAAAAGAAGAAAGATTTATTTTCCAACACTTGTTTGGAGTGAGGACATACCCTATATATTTAGGGACATAAAAACAACTTCTTTTTTATCATTAAAATATATCTAAATCACCTAAAATGCAATTAAAAAATTTCAATCAGCTTTTGTCATTTGCATGCCACCCACCCATGGCACAAATGATGTATCTACAAAAATCAATGAAAAATTACAAGTGCCGCACTGCAATGATGAAACTGTGTTGAATGCGACAAGGAAGCGATTTGTGCCACCTGATGTCTCTTGAAAGATGTTCACTGATTGGTTATACATTGAATTCTCTTTAAATTGAAACATTTAAAACATACAAGTGTGAGACTTTTGTTTCATAAAAATAACCTTAGAAATGTTTTATATTCTTGACTGTTTCCACTATTATTACTACTATTGTTAAATGGATGTCATGATACATTGATAAAGACCTTGTTGATTTTATGAGTAATGTTGATATTAATGTTTGGTTGGATTTAAAGCTTTTAATTAGGCATATAGACTTTAAGCAAGTTACTTTTTTATTATTTAATTATAATCATTCATTTGCAATTCATATTTTGATTATGAACAAATTCACGTCTTACAGTATTAGCAGAGATCAGATTTAACTGTATTAACTTATCTATTATTTTATTTTTTTGAAGAGTGAAGACAATTTCTCTGCAGGTAAAACATCTCAGCTTGTAGCAATAATTCATTTTTATGTATTGATGTGTTTATGGTAGCAATTAAATTGCATGTTGACTATACTTTTTACCAGTAATATTAAAACTATTTCTATCACTTTAATATTAGTAAAAAAAACAAACTCGGAAGGTAACTCTAAAAATAATGCAATTAACAAGTAGTTAAACCTTCATAATAATTTTAATCTTTATTTTTGTTTAAACATTGACAAATTTTATTTCAGGGCATTACTTTAACTGCCTAGCAATACTTACTAATACTACTATATTTACAACAACTACAATTTTTAATGCTATTCAAGATAGAATTGCTTTAAATATTGAATATGATCTAGGAAACATTTAAGTTCCAAAGTTTGCAAAATATTTATATCATTTATTTTGGTTTACTTTATTTTTTATGTATCAGTCCCAATAATTTTCTTATTTTTCTTTTCTTTCTTTGCCTTCTGCTGAGTGGACCATATCATACAAAAAATGAGGTCTTTCAAGTAGCACAGTAGTCATGGACTTAACTCCAGCTGCAACCAACTTACTCTAGTTGATTTATCCTCTCTTTCATCCTGTTTTCGTTTTGGCAAATCATGGCTATTTTGCCAAAATGAAATTAGCTTGTATCATATAAATGTAGAAGTTGTATTGAATAAGAAGCAATATAAGTATTGATTTGAGAAAGTGGTTTTGTTTTCTGCTATTCATTTATTTTGTCCAAAGAATCTGAATTTATGGATGAGAATAAATGCTAAACCATTTCATTTAAGACCAGAAATGAAAGTTGTGAGTAAAACACATAAAAATATATGTAAGAAAGAAAACTTAAGGCTGAATTTGAAGTCACTGGTTGGCATTGATTTTTTTGAAGGCTTACTGATATCATGCAACGGTAATTTTAGTATTGGCTTGCCCAAAGTTATAAGGTCAATAATGAAAAGTTGAGCATCTCAATACTATGAAATATTTAAAATAAAACCAGTCTCTTTGTGAAGACATAAAACTGTATCCTATACACACACACACACATTTTAAGTGAGTAATCTCAATTTGAAATCTTAGTTCTGAAACTATTTTTAGCTTTGGCAGTTGATGACACTTGTGATTTTATTTTTTGATATCATTGGTTGCCTTATTCAACAAGAATATGGCATCAAGTGATTGGATTATTCTTGTTAAAATTACATAAGTAGTGACTTCATTCCTTTTTGTTCTTGACATGAAAATTCACCTTGATTCTAAATACTAATAAATGCTAATTTGTTTTAAAACTAAACATTAAAGCTTGAAAGAAAAAAAGACTCTAGACAGAAATGAAAAAAATTAATCTTATTATCATGAAGCTACCAATCTTATGTGGTATTTATCAAGAGTTATTATAGCTAATGAATGTCCTGTCTGTTATATATATATATATATATATACATTCTGTGATATTCTTGTGGTTTGTTAATGTTTATTAAATTTGAAAATAGCAACTTCTTTTCCTATATTTAACATGTTAAATGTACACAAGAAACACATTTAAGTACACAAGGGACATCTGAAAAGTAGAATTCATAAGCATTTAGAGTTGTAGCTAAAGTAATAAAATCTAAACTGATACCATATATTTCATACATTTATTAGTTTTAGATTGGAACAAAATCTATAATTCTTTATAATTATAGATGAATTTGTTTGGACATAGTTGTTATAGTCAGAACATTTCAGCTGTTTGTACTTTCCACATTTCTTTAGGTGTCTAACATATTTGGTAATTGTTTGAGAATTTCAAACTACACTTTATTTAATCTGTGGAGGTAGATGATTTTTATTCTGTTGTCCATAATAGGTGCTATCTCATATCAGACAATTCTTTCAAATTGATTCATCCTTGTAATGCTGCTTTTGCTTTTGCACTGAACCAGAATATATATCATTCACTGCCTGACCCAGAGATTGAACCTGTGATCACCGAGTAAGTAGACACACTTAATCAATGCTTTTACTCACTAAGATAATCAGGTGATGGAATTTTTGAACCTTCTAATCAAATGAAAATCTCAAAATAGACTGATGCATCATCATGGTAATTCCTAATCTCAGAAATTGAGAGAGAAAATAAAATTCTTTTTATTTGTAACTGTTATATAAGGTTATGATAATTATAATTAAATGCAGATAAGATTTTGTGAACTTATATTTTTTACTGAAAGTATAAGAATTATATATTTGTAAAAGAAAGAAGTGCTGAAAATTCATTAGCAGAACAAATGTTTGAATATATTTCAATTACATGTATTAAGTCTTAGTGATCTTTCTGGTTTGCTTCTACTAAATGTTTGTAGTCACATAAAATGAAGCTTATTCAATTTTAGTAATCTTTAGTTGTCATGTGAACTAATACAAATTATCCAATAAAGTTGATTCCTATCATGCAATATATCTCTTTTTTTGTATTTTTTAATTTTACACCCATCATGCAATAAGGCCAATTGAAACATTACCACTGACCAGAAATTATTGATTTTTTTCATATAACTAATTATCTTCAAGTTGAGTAAATTTCCATTTCTGTCTTTGCAATTTTCAAAATAAACTTTACACCAATTTATACTTTGTGCAGTAATAGTCTGTGGTAAAATTGCCATGGCACATCTCTGTTACATTCAAATTTTCAAATATTTTTTAAACAATAATAATATCAATCAAAATTAAATGAAAATAAAAGATTCCAATTTTGACTATGAAATTCTGCACCTGATGCATATACACTTAATATTACATGTTGTTGCTTCACACTTAACATTTTGACCTCAGAGCTTTGGAATATTTCATAACAGAAATTAGTAACTATAATTTTTTAAAAATGTAAACGCAATTTTTGTGTTAAGATTTTTTTTTTTAAATTGAGCACAATTTTGAGTCACTCTGAAATGAATGCTTCCTTTTTTTATTATGTTGGCCCACAACATTGCAGGCTGGTGTTGGTACATGAACCTTCCTATGAATAACCCATAATTTTTTTGGCTTGTTACAGATAGAAGATAAATGACAGTTTGGCAAAATGGTGTGACATGAAAACACTTACAAAACAAAAGGTGCATCACTAAATTTCTCCATCTAGAAAAAAATTGTACTGATTGACAATCATTGATACTTACAGAGAAGTTACAGAAACTAAACG